CAGTAAAACAAGATGAGAGAGAGGGAGGTAAGGTCCCGTGATGAATTAGTGATTTAAGCTAAGCAGTTACATTAGGGACGTTATAAGCAATATGATAGATATTTACATAATTATAAATTTACGTTTTTTGCTGTAGAGGATGAGAATGAAGGTGCTGGAGTAGGAAAGGGAGGAGGAGGCGAGACTGACAGGCAAGAGACAGGAGAGACAGGTGAGAGACAGGACCATGAAGGTGATGAGGGAGCAACAACCAGCGTCCACAAATAAGAAGGGGACATTAGTGACTTAGGGGAAAAGCATGATGGTCCTAGACAAGTTAAGTTGTCCCACTATCCCCAGCACAAATTTGGAGTAAAAAAAACGTTCATTTAATTCAAAATGATTTGAAAGCTTTTCCTGGTTGAAAAAGAAAGCCTTGTCATCAAGGATATGCAGTGTGTTTTCAACTTGCTTGATAACACCATGTTCCCAACACTAACGCAGGTCATCCAGATCTCCCTCACAATCCCAGTCCACAGCTGGAGTTGTGAAAGGTCATTCAGTGTGTTGAGAAGGATCCACACTTGGCTGAGGTGCACAATGGGACAAGACAGTCTCCATCATCTTGCTATTTTATCAGTTGAAAAGGAAGAACTTTCTAAGCTGAATCACAGTCAAGTGATTGACCGCTTTGCAAAAATGAAAAATAGGAGGTACACTTTAATGCTCAAAAAATAAAAGAAAAACTTAGTTCATGTTGAGTTAAACTTTACCCTGAACTAAAATTCTGAAACCTAGGAATTAATGATTACTTCAGAATGTGTATAAGAAAACGTTTTATTTTTTATAGCTGCAATGTTGGAAATGTTCATGTATGTTAAAAAAAATATGCTCTTACACTCATTAATATCTCAACTGGTAATTTTGGTAGGAATGTATCAGGGTGGGGCAGTGTGCTTGTCTGTATTTGTGTATGGCAGGAGGGGCATATGCGGTAGGGGGCCAGTGCCCCAGTAAAGCTTTGTGCCTAGCAACGCCCCTGGTGCACTTTTACTTTCGCCCTCTGGGGGGAGCCTCGCTGGAAAATCAACACCGATTGCATAGTGTACCTTTAAATATTCTAAGTTAAGAGTAATAGAATATTCTCATGGGATGTATGTATGTCAGGCTCGGACTGGGAAAGATTTTTGGCCCAGACATTTTTTCCATCAAAACAGGCCCCCCCCATCACCCCAACAACCCCCTCGACTCACCCACCCAGCCCCCCTCTATATATATAGATATCTATATATAGATATCTATATATCTATATATAGATATATAGATATCTATATCTATCTATATATATATATATATATATATATATATATATATATATATATATATATATATATATATATAGATATATATAGATATATAAAGATATATCTATATATATATCTGTTAGGGGTGTAAATAATAATCGTTTTGTATCGATCCAACAGCCGACGATCCGATGCATCGATACGTCCGCAAGAGTATCGATTCATGTTTTTTTTCCCCTCCGGTCTATTTTTATCCATTTGCTCCTGGGCGTAATTCTCCCTCCCGTGCTGCGGTGGCGCTAAATCTATTTTGCCCACTCATTGCACTGATTATGTGCAGTATTTTCGCAGTATTTTTTGATGCAACTTTTCTACTTTTATTTGCCTTTGTTTCTAAAAAAAAAAAAAAAAAATTCAATATGATATTACAGCTTTCATTGATTTATTTCAAACTTGAAACTTTGTTAAGCGTGTAAGGTGTTAAAAAAATTTTTTTTACTGATTAATATAATCGAATCGTATCGTGGTGTATCCTTGAGTATCGAAAATAATCGAATCGTTGGGTCAGGAAATCGATACTGAATCGAATCGCCATGATGGATGTGATTTACACCCCTAATATCTATAGATAGATATTTATATCTATATATATATAGATATATATATATATAGTGTATATGTTCTCTTTATTCAGTAAGCAACAACAACTACAAACACACTGAACAGTGGGGAATATACAGCCATTTAAATTTTTTCCTCTGAGCATGGAGCAGCTGAAGGCAGCGTTCTATGGCACGCATGGCCTCACTAAATTCGTTCCACCTCTCAGCACTCCCACCACAATGTATGTGATGTATTGTGATGAATGATTTGTACTGAAACTGACATCGATTGCAATGTAAATTGTTGTTGACAATAAAGATGGATTGATTGATTGATTGAAAAACAGGAAAAAAGAAGGCTACATTTATTGGCCACATAACGAGGAGCCTGCCAATCTGGACAGGCCTCGGCACTGCGCTCTTACGTGATTCGCCAACAAAACTGACCTTTGGAGGAAGCAGCCACTGGAGACTCAGAAAATTTCTGTATTTTGCCCGTTCTGAAGGACGGGCCCTGTGTATACTTCATTGCAAGTCTAAGCAAGGCTGCTCTGTGTTTAGAGGAAAGGGGAAATGGTGAACACTGGTGAATATTCTAAGCACAGTTTAATATAATACAGGAATGGTAATAGTTTCATCTGAAATAAATGAAATTGTTTTAAATTGTTTTGGAGTCAGATATGTAGCGGGTAATGTTTGGTTTATTGAAATGTTTTTATCTGTCCCTGTGCAAATGCGTTTTGCTGTCATTTAGAAAAGAATACAATAGAATAGAAATTCCCTTTATTCTCCCAAAATGGGGAAATTCTTGTGTTTACAGCAGCAAAAAGATTGCAGGAAAAAAATGAAGCACAGATTCCAATATCTGATCAGTGTGTGCCCTCTAAATGTGATATTCGCGACAAAGGTACTGCTACTGAGGCCCCTTGAAAATGTAGTTAGCATACCGTAGCATAACAACAGTAAAAAGTTTGGTTTCCATTCTTTGCATGCTTTTTGTGTCAACTGTTATTTGATCGGCGACAGAGGTTAAGGGTGGTGAAAGCCAGAGAAGGCTGGATCTGTTTGAATCCATAGCCAACAATCTTCTGGCCTTTTTCTTCAGTTTTCCAATGATGGAAAACTGCATGATCTACCTGCATGTTTAAGCATTATGAAAGACTTAGTTTTTCCATAGAATCTGTTTTTTTTTCAAGATCTTTTAAAACCATCTGTGGAACACTAACATCCATTTATATGATACTTCGAACAGACTTAAGTTGAATCTTAATGAATACAAAACATTAAAAGAACACGGATCAGCTTGTTGTTCTGTAAAAGTTTCCTGGAGGCTGAGGTTGCTTTGATAGAAACTCTCAGGTCATCTATGTTGTTTTATAACACCCCACAGAGCTCCTAAAACATTGTTCTTTGTGTTTTATTGCAGAAGTGCCAATAAATAATAAATCCCTATGGGGTTCAGTTGAGGTGTGTTTGCCGGAAGAGCAATTGTAATATGCAGTTAACAACATAGACCTTTTGGAGGACACTTAAATAATGATGGAAAACTGCATGATCTACCTGCATGTTTAAGCATTATGAAAGTTTTAGTTTTTCCATAGAAGCTGTTTTTTTTTTTTCAAGATCTTTTAAAACCATCTGTGGAACACTAACATCCATTTATATGATACTTCGAACAGACTTAAGTTGAATCTTAATGAATACAAAACATTAAAACAACACGGATCAGCTTGTTGTTCTGTGAAGGTTTCCTGGAGGCTGAGATTGCTTTGATAGAAACTCTCAGGTCATCTATGTTGTTTTATAACACCCCACAGAGCTCCTAAAACGTTTTTCTTTTTGTTTTATTGCAGAAGTGCCAATAAGAATAAATCCCTATGGGCTTTAGTTGAGGTGTGTTTGCCGGCCAGTTTAGCAAAGTAACACAGTCACTGAACCAGCTTTTTGTTTCTTTGTTCACCTGGAAAGCTGGAGACTGAAACCTATATCTCAATAAATCTTGTTAGCATAGCAAAGTATTAAATGGTGTAAAATTAACTAGTAGATGGCTGTTTTAAATGTCGAATCCAGACATTTCTTCAGACCAAAACACGATAATAACATGAAAATCCAAATTAGAGGCCAATATTCCACTCAATGTTTAATAATTATAACATAGATAATATTAATACTTGTGGTGGTGGCTAAGAGGTGGCTGAGATAGGGGGTACATCCCAGTCGCCGCTGGTGGAGTTTTCTCCATGAATATCATGTACTTTTTCTTTAACATGGAATAAACTTAGCACTGTAGCTATGGAAGTTCATTTTTATTATTGATATTTCCAATCCCTCCATCCATTTTCCGTCACTCTTATCCCAAGTAGGGTTGCAAGGGGTGCTGGTGCCTATCTCTAGCTGTCTACAGGAGAGAGGCAGGGTACACCCTGGACAGGTCGCCAGTCCATCGCAGGTAATTGATGTTTTTTTTCCATTTGAAAAAAGCAGTGGATGAATCAGGACCCTGTCTGACACCAGCCTGCTCTTCATTGTTCAGCCTAACCAGTGCAAATTATATTTGATCCAGTCTGAAAGGTTTTATTGTTTCTTCTTCTCTTGGATAAAACCGTTTTTCCAAGATTCCCAGGAAAAATACACCTTTGGACTCAAGGTGTATCAAGCAAATATCTGTACCTTTGGACTTAAGTTTTATCCAGGGGCCATTCCTGTTGATAACCTTAGAATATGTTTATTTAATATTTACCTAGTTAGAATTTGAAACTTACTGTAAACTATGAAGGACACATTACAAACAGCACCTCCCAGAAGTAACTTTTTTTTTTAATTTTTTATAAAAGTAACTACAAAGATTGTATTAAAATTAACCAAGAGACAGGATTCTTCTATTAAGAAAAAAACAAAACACACTTAATCTAACTGAACATGGAGTCAGGATTTCAATCCAGGACCTTCTTGCAGCATGGTAACAGTGGGCATTGGAGATTCATAATAGTTACATTATATACAAATGTATTTCACATGAAGTTATGAAGTCCATAAGTTTAAAACATCCCAGTATACATTATATGTAAATGTGGAAGATTTTAGGTTTATCATGCTGTAAAATTTTCAATTCCAGTTGAAAATAAAGAATAAAATAAGATACCTTGCCTTGATGTTTAGTTAGTTTCAGTCCTTTCATTATGAATAACATATAAATGTCTCATCTGTCTCCTGAGGGCCTTCTTCTCTGAGCCCAGCTGTGTTCTGGTTCATCGAGCCTGTGTCCATGACAGGTGCCTTTCCAGGCATATCAGTACATGTCTCTCTCGACGGAGCCACTGGCAGCACCTCGAAGTCCACCTCAAAGCTAGCCTTGGCCTCTCCGGATTCCCGAATTATGAGCATCTCATACTCTCCAAACCGGATCAGAGCCTTGTCTGGAAGGTTCATTGTCTCCAGGTAGCTCAGTAGTGAGCCGTTTACTGATAGTGGCCCTCTCTGGCTTAGATTCTGGATGGAGAAGAGCAAATCCGGGCTCCGGGGTGTACGGAAGGGATGTAGACCCAGCTGTTTGCGGGACACCCGGGGGTCAGCCAGTGAATAGGTGCAGGCCTGAGCATCACGGCCCAGTCGGAGAGGGTAATCAGCAGAGTGTCTCCTCCTGAGCCCAAGGGGAAGCAAATCATAGAGACCCTTACAACTCTGCTGTGGGTGGTAAATCTTAATGTGGAGAACAGTGAGGAGGCTCTCCTCTGTCTCAATTGTCTCAGACATGCTCGCCATTGTAAAGATCCTGATGAAATCAGTCAAGTGACAAGAAGTGATGAAAAGCTAGAAGAGAAGAATTTTAGAGGAGAAAGTAAACAGACAGTGAGAATAACATGAACCGAGTCAGTTTTCTTGTAAAAACAAAGACACATGATCCACAAACAAAACAAATTGAAAGAAACTACAACACATGCTTAAGTCTTACCTCACACTTCAGTGTTTGAGATTGATGATCTTGGGAGATATGCTGCCCTTACACACAGGAAAGAATAATTATAAAGTGGTAGCCTTTAGCAATGAGGAAGACGTGAGTGATACTGCTGCTTCTGCTCATAAAAACAAGAAATACTCCTCCCAACGGCCCTGGTGACCCTGCTGCCTTCAAGAATCCGGAATTGTCAGCACTAAACATGATGGTAGTGAAAGTAAAAGAGTGAAACCAGAAATAATGGAATTTCCCTCATTTCTAAATCAGTTTTGAATATCTGCAAACTGACCAAGATGAAACATTGAAAGATTCATTGTAGTTTGATAATAAAAATAAATAAAAAATAAAACAGCAAAGAAATGTACTTTGTAGTTTATGTTATTTTAGAAAAAACAAAAACTAATATTAAGTTGCAGTTTTTTTTTCTGGTTTTTTTTTTTTTTTTTACTGATATCCTATCATCTCCCATTGTTTGCCTCTTTGGTTTTCTGGGTAGAATATTTTTCTATTTCAGGCAAAACCTTTTCAGATGGCCTCATTGTAACTTGATATCCCTAATGCCCTTGAGGAGCCTTTAACAAAGAAAGAGGGGAAGGGGAAGTTACATAGTTTCGCAATTGCTTAGTCTTCAGTACTTACTGGAAATGAACCATTTAAAAACAAGCAGTTATACATTAATCCAGGCTTGTGTAAATTTGTGTCCTGTCTTTCCATTTCTTTTGTGTTACTCAAGCTTCAAAATGTGGGAAAAAGATTTAGGAGAATCAAAAATTACAACTACCTAATTTCATCAAGGGATCACCGTATTATTCATATACAGCTCTCTTTAAGTTCCTACATTCAGAGGTGTCAAGTAATGAAGTACAAATACTTCGTTACTGTACTTAAGTAAACTTTTTAGGTATCTATACTTTTCTCCATTACTTATTTTTCCTCCTACTTCTGACTTCTACATATTACATTTTCAAACAAGTATCTGTACTTTCTATTCCTTACATTTTTAAAACAAACGTTACTCGTTACCCTTGGCTTCGGTTTAGTGCAGAGGTCACGGATAGCGGACCGCGCAGCTTCTCCTGTTACCCAGAAATCCCACATCCTCTGTCACCGCCCCGCACCGCAGCGCTCCGCCCCGCAGCGCTCCAGACCTCCTCCGCAAACCAAAGCTGTTGTTCCTCCTGTATTGCTGCGCTCTGACTTATCCTCTGAGCTTTAGGAGAGCATGGGCAATATTATCATTAAATCAATAGGAGCAAAACATGCAGAAATGAACGCTTAATTTAATATGACATATTAAATAATCCCCATCAGCGTCCAGCACATGTGCAGATTCTGATGGAGATGAGAAATCTGCTTCCTGGTCTTTTGAAGAACCAATAGTTTGCATCCAATCTTTTAAATAAATGGTGTTAGTTTTTTTTAAATGTATAAGAATTATGCTCTAATTTGTAATAATTACCTATCTGTTGTTACTATATTTTAATTTGACAAACCGGATCTTTTCACTGTTCTTTTTCCTGTTTGGTGCGATTGCAATAGCCAATCTTGACCTGACCAGAGTGGAATCTGAACATTTAAAGGATGTTTGGCTCAATCTGCTGCTGTGAAGCAGGATTCTCCACCATGAACAGAATAAAAAATAAATCTGGATCCAGGCTCAAAATTAGCACCTTGATATGTGCTTGAGAATGGCTTTGTCTCCATTCAAACTCAGGTTTAAAGCCTTGCAGGGCAGCCTAAGGCCCACTGCTCTCATTAAGACAGAAAAAGGAAAGAAAAAGAAACAGTCAGTTCAGGTGTATTAAAAAACAACTCAACGTAAATGACATCAGGGGGAATGCTATCTGACGGGCCTATAAACCCCGTCAGATAGGGTTCCCTGGTACCGTCCACATCTAGTGAAAACTAGTGTAATTGGATGAGTCATATAATGCAGACACTCATTGGTTAGCTAAAGGAAATCATCAGAAGCAAGCAGGGGTTCTTCAAACTGTGAACGTGAATAGTCTATGCAATGGTACAATGCTGGATTCAGAAAAAGTTGTTGAAATGTCTGAAAGGTTGGACACAGGTGAGAGCGTATCGGGAGTAAAGACGGAGACCAACAAGACCTCCCTCATCCTTTGCCCTATCTCAAAGAATTTTTCTAAATAGTCGAAAAATTAAGCTTTCAATTCATATAGCTGCATCTGGCTGTTTTTTTTAAAGGGTACTTTACACTTTTATACTTTAAGTAGTTTTTGGAACACATACTTTTTCACTTTTACTTGAGTAAAGAGGTCAAGTTGATACTTCAACTTTTACCAGAGTGTTTTTAAACTGCAGTATCTATACTTCTACTTAAGTAACAAATGTGTGCATTTTTGACCTATGAAGAAACCTATGAAGATTATGCCTAATTTAAGTAATGATATTGAAGAAATAAATTCAATGATAACAAATATAATATGCAAATCTGCAGAAAAGGCCATTGGCAAATCTACTGGATTAAAAGAAAAGATAAACGGCTCCTTGGTGGAACAGTGAATGTAAAGAAGCTATTAAAGTTAGGAATGAAGCTTTTAGAAGGTTAAAATTAAATAATTCATTTGAGAATTTAATAACATATAAAAGAGAACAGTCTAAAGTTAAGAGAGTAGTAAAATTATCTAAAAAGAATTATTGGAGGAGTTTTTGTAGTACGATTGGAACAGACCTAAAGTAAACGAGATTTAAGGAATGATTAGAAAGATGGGGGGAATTAGAAAGGATTTTTCTTTACCTATAATTAAAGCTAATCAGCGTGAAGCTATAACAATCCAGGAAAAGCAGAAATGTTTGCTAGGTCCTTTGTGGAAGTGCATAGTTCTCAAAATTTATTCAATCAAGAATTATGATAGAGATTGAAAATGATTGAAGATAATAGATACATTTTAAATAGGAAAGAGAAAGATGGATCTGTTTTAGATGAAGATTTTACTGTTTGAAATGAATATAGCTTTGATTGGAGTTAAGAATACATCTCCAGGTAAAGATGGGATATGTTATAAGCTAAATGAACAGTTATCAGATGCTGCTAAAGGAATAGTTTTAAATTTATACAATAAGATATGGGAACAAGGTGAATTGCCCTCTAGTTGGAAACATTCAATTGTTGTACCAATAGTAAAGCCAGTTAAGGATAAAGGAGAGGTTAAAAGGTATAGGCCCATAGCTCTAACATCTAATTTATGTAAATTAATGGTGAGAATGATAACTAAGAGATTATTGTATGAAATAGAAAAAAGAGGCCTTTTATCTCCTTATCAGAGTGGTTTTAGGAATGGACGGACAACAGTAGTTTCAATTGTTTGTTTAGAAAATGAAATAAGAAAGGATCAGTTAAATATAGAAATTCTTTTAGCTATGTTTTTTGATATTGAAAAGGCATATGATATGCTTTGGAAGGAGTGTTTATTAATAACGATGGATAAAATGTGAATAAAAGGGAAAATGTTTAATTGGATTAAGGACAGTTAGTATAAATTATTCAAATATTTATGCATATCCATACAAAATGGAACCCTACAAGGTAGTGTATTTAGTCCACTGCTTTTTAATATAATGATTAATGATATTTTTGATAATATAGATGTTAGAATTAGTAAAGCATTATATGCAGATGATGTAGCATAATAGATGAAAGGAGGAAATATTAGTCATTTAACAAATAAAATGCAATCAGCAATTAAAACGCATGACTGGGGGTTTCATTTTTCTGTTAAGAAGACACAAGTAATATGTTTTTCAAGGAAAAGGGTTAATCCTACAATAGATCTTAGATTATATGGACATAAATTGAAGCAGGTAAATATCGCAAGGTTCCTCAGCATATGGTTTGATGTAAAAATATAATTTAGGATACATATTCAGAAGATTATTGATAAATGTTACAAAGGAATTAATATTTTAAGATGTTTGTCAGGGAATGATTGGGGGGCAACAAGCACATCTTTGGAAAGAATATATAATGTTTTAATTAGATCTGTGTTGCACTATGGATGTATCATTTATAAGTCAGCTGCAAATTCTTTGTTATTAGATTTGGATAGAATCCAAGCTAAAGCACTTCGAATATGTTGTGGTGCATTTAGAACCTCTCCTATTCCTGCTCTTCAGGTGATTACGAGAGAAATGCCACTGGACTTAAGGCGGAAGAAGCTATCAATAAATTATTGGTTAAATTTACAAGGGCATGAGGAAAATCATCCTACTAAACAGGTCTTTAGAGAATGTTGGGAATATGGCCGTAACATTAGGAGTTTTTGATGGGAAGGAAATATTTATGCAGATTATTTGGGGATAAATAATTAAGCATGCTGCAAAACTGTAATTAAATCTAAAATTGCTCCGTGGTTATCCGAAATGCCAATAGTAAATTTAGAAACCAAAAAAATAGAACAGTCTTGTGGAGTTTTGCATCAAATTATTCAGCAGTATTTAGGTATAATGTATTAAAATATGACGCAAATATATACAGATAGCATTTTATGTTCAGAAACAAAAAGTTTTTATAAAAAGAAGAAAAACAGATCATTTATCAATTTTTTAGCAGAGATGTTGGGAATTGTTTTGGCTGTGGGTGAAGCCTAATAAGGTAGTTATCTGTTCAGATTCAATGTCTTGCTTAACAAGTATTATAAGTGGAAAATCGGAAACCCGTCAAGATCTTTTAGACGAAGTTAGCTATTTGTTATATGGTATAAAGCAACAAAAAATAAGTATTCAATTCTCATGGGTTTCAGCACATAATGGAATTGTAGGTAATGAAAAAGTAGATAAGTTGGCTAAAGAAGCAGTTAAAGCAAGATAAATTGAATATGATGTCCCAATAAGTAGAGCAGAAATAAAATAAATTATTAAATATAAAATAATTAATATATGGCAGGAGAGATGGAATTTAGAAGAAAGAGGAAGGCATTTACATAAAATACAGAAGGAGGAAATCATAAGAAATGATAGTATAATGATGAATAGGAGAGATGAAGTATGGATAAGCAGGTTGAGGATTGCGCATACTAGTTTAAATAGTGGTTTAAAAAAATATAGGGAAACATCCATCAGGTGATTGATCTTATTGTGGGGAAACAGAAGGAGTAGAACATGTGTTAATTTTTTATAGAAAATATATAAAAGAGAGGAAAGAACTGGAAAGGGTAATGGGGAGTTCAGTAAATATGATTAATTTATTAGGGAAGCATCAATCACATGATATAGTTTAAGTACTTATTAAGTATATAAAAGACACAAAATTAGATGAGAGGATTTATTATTTATGTGTGTTTACGTGTATAAGTATATATTTAATTTAGTTTTTTTTTAAGATTTGAAAATGTATTGGAATTTTTTTATTTTTTTTCCTGAATTACATCTCCATCCAGTTGATGGCGATAATACACATAGTTTGTAAACTGCCATAAAACACCATAAAAGAAGAAGAAGTTATGATACACTGTAAGAAGTATGAAGAAAAAGGAGGGAATTGGTTCAAAATCTTAAAAAAGAGAGAATACACTTTAATTTGATAGAAATCCTTAGAAAGAACTCAAGTGTTATGTAATTGTTTTTCATTATCTTAGATTAATCAATGTAATTCAGAGGATTTGAATCTTATTTTGATTTTGTTGGTTTTTGTTTTGTTGATTTGGTTTTTTTCAGTATAAGTAGGTACACTGCAAAAACAATCCAGAAATAAGTAAAAAATGGCTTAAATTAAGTATATTTAGCCTTAATTTGAGCAGGTAAATAAGATGATTTGCCAATGGAATGAGTATTTTCACTCTTAAAATAAGATAGTTAGATAATATTTACTTGAAATAAGACGATAAAATAGTTGTTTCTTATTTTAAAAGGAAATTGTCTTGTTCCATTGGCAAAGTGTCTTACTTACCTCCTCAAATCAAGGAAAAACCCA